GGGTGCAGCTAATTCAACAAGAGAGGCCGGATAAAGCGAAGATTCTGGGAAAAGCGAGCGGTTTGGGTTGACAGAAAGTTCTTAAATCTACTCCATCAACAGAAAGTAGAATTTGAGAACTTTCTCCCACCCCCCAAACCTTATCCCTGTTGCTGTCAATACTTTGAACATTCTATCTAAAATCTTGCCCCCCCAAACTTTCCCCAAAAACCTGATAAAACCAAAACACAAATAATATGAGTGGAAAACGACGATTCAAAAAAGTTTGAAAGTCCCCAAATTTGACCTCCTCTCACAGCGGATTAGATAGTTCGAATCCAGAAAATTACCTTCAACAATTTAAAGAATCAAAAATTTGTAAAAAATCACAGTAATTTTGAGTTATACTGAAATAAATTCCTTCATATTAAAAGTAGTAGACAACGAAATTAAAGATGTTTTGTAAATTTTGTGTCGTATAAAAAGAACTTTCTGTCAACCCGAACCACTCGTTTTCCACCAACTCGTCGCTTTATCCGGCCTCTCTTGTTGAGTTAGCTGCACCCATTAAGTAAGTAATGGCATAATTTCCATGGTACCTAAATGCATAGAGTACAGAAGAACCGTCACAGAAGAGCTTCAAATATGCTTTTTCTTATCAAAAACTCTCTGACTGCACATTTTTCGTGAAATTTTGGAGGAAATCACATCTGGAAACCTTCATTTTATCATCAAATTCGATATTTTAGAGTCTGCAACTTGGCAACGCTGCCGCGGGGGCAAAAAATTTTGTATGGGCATGAAAATTTCAGAAAAGTCACATCTTATACCAGGTTAATACATACTAAAAGCTCAGATCGGTCACGGCAAGGATGAGGGAGAAGAGGTTTAATTTGTCGCCCCATGCCCAGTGTGCTATTTTACCCTTAAACAACCACAAAAATGCGATTAATTTTCCAGGAGCTCCTATTTCGAAATTGCCGAAAAACCCGTCAGGAAGTACCCCACTACAACCTCCAACTTGAATTTTTGATGTACATTCAAGTCGCATAGTAAGTGAGTTCCACCGTGCCAACTTTTGAGTGGATTCTACCGCTCGAATCCGTTGCAGTGTTTACCATTTCTTCAACATGTTTTCAGGTAACATTAAATTCTCAATTGAATACGAATCCGATAATTCCATAAGTTTCCTGGATAACCTGTCTATAAAACAGGGAAGTAAATTTGTTACATCGTGGTTTAGAAAACCTACTTTGTCGAGCAGATACTTGGACTTATTGCCTGCGCAACCACTCTTCAAAAATTAATGTAATTAAAAATTTGGCAAAACGTGTATGCTTACTTTCTCATCTTATGTACCGCAAGGACAAAATAAGGGAAGCCAAAAAATTGTTATCTGAGAATTGTTATCCCAGGCACCTTGTTAACTCTATTTTTGAGAATATAGTGAATTTTCGTTATAATGGCTTTTCCCCCTACCCTAATTTTCGATAAAACCGAAATAATTGAACGTCCTTACATTTCCTGCTGTTCGGAAAAGATGAGATCCGCATTAAAATCGCATGGTTATACACTTGTCACTTCCAATAAATGTAATTTGAGGAGTTTCCAGTCTTCTTTGAAATCCAAAATTCCCACCGATAAACAATCAGGATTGGTATATGAGATCCCATGTGGGGATTGTCCGGGCGTCTACATAGGGCAATCATCGCAATACTTGCACAAAAGGCTTGATGGGCATAAATTTAGCCAGCATGAAGTGACTGCTCTAAAACTGAAACAACATATAAGGGAAAAGGGGCGTTCATTTGACTTCAGTAACACCAAGGTGTTAAAGGAAGAGAAAAATGAACAGCTTAGGTTGAATTTAGAGGGTTTGTGTATTTTAAAAAACCAAAGAGCTATAAATTCTAGGACTGAGTTTGCTCACTTTAAAGAATATTTTTCCAAACTCTGACAACTTTCATTGTGTATACAGGGTTATTCAAAAGTTACGCACCACTGGCCATAACTTTAGTTCTAATCATGATATCGATTTGCGGTTTGTGGCGTCCTTCCTCATATCGAGGGGGAAACTTTTTGAGGTACTTTTCAGTTTTTCACCCCCCCAAGGGGAGGGGGGGCGGGGGGCAACTCAAAAATTTCAAATAGCAACCCCCATCATGTGATACATCGTTAGAAAGAGCATGAGAAAAGAAAATTTTTGGCGCAAACCGGAAGTCGATCTGACCCCCCTGTCAAAAGTTAGGGGGGTCCAAAGGTTATTTAGGGGGTCCGTACCTTCATTTTTTAGAGTAGCTTCGGCGGCTCTTGGACATACCGTTTCTCTTTTCAAAGAGTCCTCGAATACTCCAAGTCTGATACCGAAGTCTTCATATTCGCCCCGGGCCACCACAGCCCCCCCGTAGGGGGAGATGGGCCTGTTACAATGAAACATTGCATTAAAATGCGAAAAATCACAGAAGAGCTTCAAACTTAGCATCAAATCCGAGTGGAACTTCTTGCCAATGTTAACGCAAACGCAGCCTGCGACTTTAAAGTGAGTTTTCAAAACTCTTAGCCCCCAGCCCCCCTTCATTTTTGGTTGCAGAGCGGGTAAAAACCGGGAAAATCGCCAGAAATGATGCCCGAAACCACTGTAGAACTTGACAAGAACCCTTGAAACGTTGCGCTTAGTCGGAGAACTGCAACACAGGAACTGCCGCCCACTTTAAGGACGGAAACATCCATAAAACCCCCGCTGCCCCCCTCTTTTTTCGTTGCAAAGCTGGTAAGAACCGGGGCATCATTTCTGGCGAATTTCCCGGTTCTTACCAGCTCTGCAACGAAAAAAGAGGGGGGCAGCGGGGGTTTTATGGATGTTTCCGTCCTTAAAGTGGGCGGCAGTTCCTGTGTTGCAGTTCTCCGACTAAGCGCAACGTTTCAAGGGTTCTTGTCAAGTTCTACAGTGGTTTCGGGCATCATTTCTGGCGATTTTCCCGGTTTTTCCCCGCTCCGCAACGAAAAATGAGGGGGGCAGCGGGGGTGTTTTGGATGTTTCCGTACTTTAAGGGGGTGGCAGTCCTTGTATTTCAATGCTCCGACTGATCGCAACGTTTCAAGGGTCCTCCTCAAGTTGGACATTAGTTTCGGGCATTATTTGTAGTGAATTTCCCGGTTTTTACCCGCTCTGCAACCAAAAATGAAGGGGGGCAGGGGGCTAAGAGTTTTGAAAACTCACTTTAAAGTCGCAGGCTGCGTTTGCGTTAACATTGGCAAGAAGTTCCACTCGGATTTGATGCTAAGTTTGAAGCTCTTCTGTGATTTTTCGCATTTTAATGCAATGTTTCATTGTAACAGGCCCATCCCCCCCTACGGGGGGCTGTGGTGGCCCGGGGCGAATATGAAGACTTCGGTATCAGACTTGGAGTATACGAGGACTCTTTGAAAAGAGAAACGGTATGTCCAAGAGCCGCCGAAGCTACTCTAAAAAATGAAGGTACGGACCCCCTAAATAACCTTTGGACCCCCCTAACTTTTGACAGGGGGGTCAGATCGACTTCCGGTTTGCGCCAAAAATTTTCTTTTTTCATGCTCTTTCTAACGATGTATCACATGATGGGGGTTGCTATTTGAAATTTTTGAGTTGCCCCCCGCCCCCCCTCCCCCTGGGGGGGTGAAAAACTGAAAAGTACCTCAAAAAGTTTCCCCCTCGATATGAGGAAGGACGCCACAAACCGCAAATCGATATCATGATTAGAACTAAAGTTATGGCCAGTGGTGCGTAACTTTTGAATAACCCTGTATGAGTACCTACTGCCTCTCTGTTAGCGGGTGCTTATTGTTATTGTTTGTCATGTTCTCCTGTTATCGTTAAACTGGTCTTTCTGTGACTGGACTGGGTTTCTGTGTTTTTCCTCGTTTAGTTATGAATAACTTGTCTGCCCTAAGGATGGAGCGAATTTGGCTCTGAAACGTCAGCTTGTAAAATGTAGTGTAAAAATATTGCAAAATGTAAATAAAAAGGTTGAAAAGTACTCGTGAATTTTGTTCAATTATTAATTATTACAACCGTGAACTCTTAATAACTGTTTAATGGTTGTTAAAGTATTTATAGATTGGGTTTTGAATGAGACTTACGACCTTTGATTTACACTTATAATTTATTTACATTTCGTCAACGTTTTGGAGGCCTATTGCCCCCCCCCCTCCTCACGGCATGAGATGACACTAAAAATACATAACAGACAAAGAGGAAGACGAGCCGCAGTTGTGTTAATCTTGACGAGATAATAACATGCTACACCGGCTCCTTTTGTACGTAATAGTCCTCAAATTGATTGAATTCAGTTCGAGCATTAAATGCATTGCTGTCCTTTAAGATATGAAATCCCTGTAAGTTAGATCGGACTTTGGTATTGGTTTCTTTGCATAAAGTTTTTACAGAATAAAAACCAAATTCATGCTCTTCATTCTTAATGTGCTGCTTGAGAGCAGTTACCTCATTTTCATTGGCTGTCCATTATTTTATGGAGATGTTGGGATGCCTGATCCATATGTATACACACCAGGGCAGTCCTTGCATTGCATCTGGTGAACCACATTAGGTAGCTTATCTTTTGACGTTCTTGCCTTAAGAAATGAATTAAATTTTTTCAAGTTATTTTACTTGAATTGACGACTGAAATTTTATGAGGCCTGAGAGAGGCTTTCAATTCTTCTGAAACTAATGGTATTTACAGTAAAACAAAAAATTATGAATCATCTCTCTTTATGGGGGGTGGGAATCCATTGTAACCACAATTAATGACATCTTTAACAACAGAGTTGACGATAGTGATAGGATAACAATTTTGTTTCAAGTTATAAACAAATTATAAATTATATTTATTAATATTAAATGATATTAAAAATTATATCTGTTCATCAATGGCTGAATTGGACCTCCTTCTTTATTTACTTCTTTTGTAAGTAATTTTAATTTTACTTGTATCTACCTTGATTAATTTTCTTGAAAGGAAACTTGTAAAATTGATTTGCAGAGAACTAGCAAAAAGTTGTCCGTTATCTGTAGATGGAATGATGCTGGACTCTCCTCACACCAAAACCTTTTTGCTTTTTCAAGCTCATTTTTCGAGGATACCTTTGCCCTCAGCTGATTATTTTACTGATTTAAAATCAGTTTTAGACCAGTCAATCCGTGTCATCCAGGTAATGCTGCATCATTCTCTAAACAACCTCTTGATCTTTTATTTAAATACATGTACTTTCCTTTTAATTAAAACTACGTTACTGCCACCCAAAATGCTTCTACTTCAGTTGTATTTTAATTAATGCAATCTATATAGTTGAGTTAAATAGAGCACATTCCAAAAACTTTGAATTACAAAATGATTTGATCTGAATCCTCAGAATTTTACAGCGGTGAAACAAGCCACTTTACCCGTGCATTTTTTTCTGGAACAAACAATGTATCTTCAGTTTTTTCTCCCATAGGCTATGATCGATGTGAGTGGGGAACAAGGGTGGCTGGTGACAACGCTTAGGTTGCAAATCATCATGCAAATGATCATACAAGCTCGATGGCGAACCGATTCACCTATATCCACTGTGCCGCACCTAGAACCACAAGATGTAAATTTGTTTTTAAATGAAACTCCTGCTGCAGTGTGCACATTGCCCGGACTAAGAGATGTTGCCTCAAAGCAGTTTGAGCTGGTGGCAAACATACTAAGAAAAGAACTGAACGAGCAAGAAATTGGAGAGGTAGTAAAAAATAATTTAAGTTGTTATTGAATGTACAACTCCCTAAATTTTTTATAACTTGCAGATTCAACTTGTTTTCGCTAATTTGCACGAGTTCCTAGAAAGCAACATTAAGATTTAACCCAAGAGTCTCTGTGGTCGAAACCTAATTGTCATATTCTAATACTTTTCATTGAATTATGTCAAATCTTTCGCAGAGGATTTTTTACTGATCTGTGATTGCTTGGTCGGTAATAAACTCCCGTGGCTTTCATATTGACATGATGTCATGGGAGTTATATACTTTAGAACTTACTCTTAGAGGAGCAGTAGTTTTTTCTTATTCATTCAAGTTATGTACTAGAGCTGTAATCATGGATAGTGAGTTTGTTGCAGCATCCAGCAAATCAAGATATTTGCAGCACATGATGTTTGGTGCAGTTTTGGAATTACTGAACCGTTTAAAAGGCACATTTCAGTACACAGCTCCTTCAAGCTCTATTTTGAGCCTTTATTTGATAACAAAATAGGTTCAAGACATTCGTTCTGAAATGTTGTGTCAAAATATTGAGTGTTGGCCTTCAATTCCATGAGCATTCAACATTCATCCTGGTTTTTCGGTCGTCATTCATAACAAATCTGAATTTCATTCAAAATTAAGAGTCTTAAAAGCATCTTTTATCCTGGCTACCTCTAAGGATGATTTTCCCTTTAACTTCAAAGATGAGAAATGTGCACATTTTTTTCACTCCTCTGAGTAATTGGGTTTTTCGGGGCATGCTGTGTGGGAGCCTCACTGCCAATGTTTCTGCATCCCACCAGAATATAAAAGGTAGTAATAAAAAATCGGTGAAATGAAAGTAAAATAATTTCCTATTTCAGGTTTGCACTGTTCTCTTGAATCTACCAGTCTTGCAAGTCGAAATCTATTTGTGTGGTCGGTGGCCTAATAATGAGCCCAACAGCCAGGTAATTTGCTTAATATTTCACACTCCTTTTAAAGGCCATAATTGCTATGTTAAAACATTTTCATAATCTGCAGGGTTGCCATAGTCGGGGAAATTTCAGGGAAGTTTAAAACGTCAGGGGAAAACCGGGAAATGTCTGGGAAAGTGATGAAAATGACAATAATGTCCGGGAAAATCATAAAAGAGCCATTCTTTGCTTCCGAGATCAAGTCCGCAATGTTAAACAACTAATGTTCCGTGTTCAGGTTTAGAAAGGGCGATTTCACGGACGAATTTGCGCGTCGCCCTGTTACCCTCACTATTTTCCTTCCCCCCAGTGGCAGATCCAAGGAGGGAGGGCCATGATGGCATGTGGCATGGAAAAAAAAGTGCTCCTTGACTTTTACTGCGATTTTTTAAAGACAAAACTATATAACCTAAGTTTACAACCAAACCAAAGGTTGCTCAACACCGCAGTAATAGAAACCTAGTCCATATACTGAAATAAAATTACGCTGAAAGATGTACCTATTACTCGTCAATTTCGACTTTCAAATAATGCACACATTGTATGCTAAAACTGCTTAAAAATCAATCTGGGAGGGCCTATTTTCCCAAAAATTTTTCCGACCTTCTTCTTCTCGGGGTGTCCCCCCAGACCCCCCACTCCGCACCAGCCAATGGCTCCCCCCCCCTCCCGACTCACTCTGGAACGGCCACTGCTTCCCTTCAGTCGCCCCCTTCATACCGCCTCCTCCTACGCAGTTCTACCGATGCGTGTGTACCACCTTTACCCTTTTTACTAATAGCAATAATGAAGGGAACTACCTCTCTCTACCTAGCCTCAATAACTCATGCAATTTCATTCAGTATTGTCTCCCAACCAATCGCTATTTTTGAATTATTTTCCTACTAGCTTTCAGAGGGATGAAACTGTGTTAAGCAATACTAAAATTTGAACTGGGGAGGTGGATTGGTTCATTTTTGCTGTAATTTATGTGTTTGTGCCTTTGTCTCTATGAGGTTTTTTATCAACAGGCATTGTTGGCAACAGAGCTTTTCTGGTTTCAATATTTTAAAGAAGAAAAATGATTAGCTGAAGCTTCCTTTCTTTTCACTCATTTGGTACAAAAGACTCAGTTTTACCTACTATTAGTCCTAAATGGAAGTGGTAACACACCCTGCCAATACTTCACAAATTGCTAAGCATTGCAGGATTTCTACTCTTAGTCTAAGGCAATCAGAGCCTGATGTCATTATAAACTTTGAGGAGATACAATATGAGGAATTGACCATAAATTCTTTAAGAACGGGCCATTCTAGGATGTAGCTTCCTTCAGTTGCTGTGAATGACATAAAACTAGGTGTATGTGTTAAACACAGATAGTGCAATTGCCCAATTCATGAAATGAGCAATGTTGTTGCCCAAATCGTGAAATGCCGCGAAAATCGTCCATTTCACTCATTTCACCCATTTCAATCGTCCAACTCACGCTTTGGGCAAAAACTGAAAAAACACTCACGCTCAATTTGTGTAATTGCCCAATTCGTAAAGTGGGGCATGTGCCAATTCGTGAACGTAGCAACTGCTGAATGTTGGTTAAAAAGTACGAGATAGGACAACAGTGCGATAGCCCGGTTATCAAGATTGTATCATTTATCGAGGTGCGGCACATCAATAACTTTGCTGGGGATGATCTCTTGTTTACTTCCTTAAAAGAATGTTTGGTTTTGCATAGCTAGTGAACAGCTAGCCGTTGCATCGCGTGGAACGTCGTAGTGCGCCGTACCGATTTTAAATTATTCGTTTTTAAAACTTTTTACTGTATCTTGTAGTGGTTAAATACTTTTTAACCGTTTTTAAACCGAGCTTTTTTAACATTCGAAAATTTATAATTCCACGTCTGTGGTGTTTGTAGTTAAGTGCTTTTTCCATCCATTTTTTAATAAATATGAGTTCATTATCCAAGGTCATTCAAAATACCGCGGCCCTGTGGACACCCTGTATAAAAGCTGTCACAACACTCCGTAGAATGTTCCCATGCGTCTCAGCAAGCTTCAAGTGGGTTTTCTTTTCACTCTTGTGAATTATGGAGGTGTGAACATTATTAATTATATCCCTTACAGAAGATTTAGTTACCATTACCTACTCGACCTTCGCTTTTTCGTAAAGCTTTTTAACACCAAACATTTCTTCCAGTTGAAAGTCATGAATATGGTAAAAATTACGATTTCTTTTCATGATGCCAGTGCGAGTGTCCTTAAAAGCTAGTAGCACCTCTTCCTCATAATCGCCCGTCCACAGGGCCGCGGTATTTTGAATGACCTTGGATAATGAACTCATATTTATTGAAAAATGGATGGAAGAAGCACTTAACTACAAACACCACAGACGTGGAATTATAAATTTCCGAATGTTAAAAAAGCTAAAAGTATTTAAACACTACAAGATGCAGTAAAAAGTTTTAAAAACGAATAATTTAAAATCGGTACGGCGCACTACGAGGTTCCACGCGATGCAACGGCTAGCTGTTCACTGGCTATACAAAACCATACATTCTTTTACGGAAGTAAACAAGATATCATCCCCAGCAAAGTTATCTATATGCCGCACCTCGATAAATGATAGAATCTTAATAACCGGGCTACCGTACTGTTGTCCTTTCTCGTACCTTTTAACCCACATTCAGCAGTTGCTACGTTCACGAATTGGCACATGCCCCACTTCACGAATTGGGCAATTACACTAATCGAGTGCGGGGAAATATCAGGGAAATGTCAGGGATTTTCATTTTCTAAAGTCTGTGGCAACCCTGAATCTGAATTTTCTACGTATCCAGCAAGGGTCGGAGAAATGTTTGCCCCCAAATGAAATGCAGATTGCACTGAAAAATTGCTCAAGTAGTAAAGTACACCTTTTAAGCAGGTAGACTTTTTCTCTTTTTGCAAATGAGTCGTGGGGATACGCACCAAAACTTGGCCGAAAATTTACTTTCTTTTACCACTCATGCTGTAAGCAAGCAATTTTGAACATTTCCTTCGTCAGAAGTGATGTATAAGGAGGAGAAGGAATGGTAATTCCCACAGGTGAGTTGCAAATTAATGAGAGGATGACCAATGCCATTATTTTACTGCTAAACGACTTTGATAAAACTCGGCAACGCAGCAACGAGAGCAAAAAAATTTTGTCCCCATGAAAATTTCAGGAAATTTGTACCTCATACCAAAGAATGACATAAAAAATTGGGATCAATCCAGGAAGAAAGGGGGCCAATTCCATCATTTTATCTCCAAACCCATAGTTTTGAAGTTTCAAACTTTGCAAATAGTCCAGGCAAATAAGCCAAAAAAGGAGCCATAGCCTGCAAAAATCCCGGGTAGCCGAATTTCAACTCTGCACCAAAAATTCGGACCGGAAAGTTGCCAAATTTGGCAAAAATGGCCTAAAATCGGCATTTCTTCCGGATTATGGCCTGTAACTTGCCAAAAATTGATCTGACGATAAAATTAGTTATTTTCAGAAATAAAGCTCGTTTAATTTCCTATAAAAAAGTTCCTATACACTTTTTTGCTCAAGGCAAAATCAAGCGCAATGGCGGGCTCTGAACTTTGTAAAATGTGCAAAAATTGCGCATACTGTAATGTGTTGGGCTCCTTATTATTTACATCAATTTATTTCACTAAGTGTAAATTTTATCATCTTCACTTAATTTGTCCAGAAATTACTTGTCAGACGATTAAAACAGGAGGGATGTGACAAAAACCGCGAAAAACACAATTTTTGCTCATTTTTCAAAGTTCGGAGCCCACCAGCGCGCTAGCTTTTGCCTTGAGCAAAAAAACGTTTAGGAACTTATCTATTGAAAATTTAACGAGTTTTATTTCTAAAAATAACTAATTTTATCGTCAGATCAATTTTTGGCAAGTTACAGGCCATAATCCGGAAAAAAGGCCGATTTTAGGCCATTTTTGCCAAATTTGGCAACTTTCCGGTCCGAATTTTTTGGTGCAAAGTTGAAAGTCGGATTCAGCATCAAAAAGTACGTAGGAATCCATGTAAACATTGCTACCCGGGATTTTTGCAGGCTCTTTTCATTATTTGCCTGGACTGAAAGTTGCAACAGGAGCAAAGCAAACTTCAGGCATGAATTTTTCAGGAAAGTTGAAAAGTTCATGTCGGAGAGTAACAAACTATAAATTTAGGTAGATACGGGAAGAAATAGTAGTCCAGTCATTCTAGCTTTTTACCTCGGACAAATTAGCACAAACTTTTCCTTTGGTATATAGGGTCTCTAGGTACCCAATAAGACAGAAAAAAAAGTTTACCAAAAAATTCGACCGGGAAAGTGGTCAAATCGCAGTTTTTCAAAATGGCGGCTTACGGCGATTTTCAAAGAGGACGTACATACGGATTTCCCTTTATAACTCAAAAATAACGCGTCAAACAAAATATTGCAACACATCAGTTTGAAAGATCATAAAATTTTGATTAAGAATCATATACAAAACTTAGGCTTTTCTTATTTTTCCTTTCCGAATTTTAATATTTAAAAACAACAACCGGCAAAATCTGCTGAAAATTCACGATTTTTCGCGTTCTTGACCAATTTTAGGTCAAAATAATTAATTTAAGGTTAAAAACAACGGCACCACTGAAAAGTACGCTAAATTTTACATAAGTATACCCATTCATTTTACCTTTTCATCTTATATGACCTCATTGTGAGACGAATCATTCAAAAGTATGAAGTCAATATTTAACAACAAATTCAGTTGTTTTTTTCCGTTTCCAGCGCTTTCTATGAATTATTTTTCGACAAAAGTATAACTTATATGTACTTTTTAGGAAGGTGATAAAATTTTCAAGACGAATAACACACTGTTTTTCCTTTAAATTTTACAACATGTACCTGAAAAGCGTATTTAAGGGAATTACGCTGAAAACTGATTTCTCTAGAAATTTCAGAATTTCAACAATTTTCGACTTCTTCACAGCTAAAAACTGAGAATACGATTCAACGA